TGTCATAAGACTTTTTTGATATATATAAAAAATAATAATTTTTTTTTTCAGTGTTTCCCTCCACATTCAATACGAAATTTTTGTAATGAAATATTTCTCTCTTTTTGCAAGTTTGAATCAAATTTACTTATTTTATTGCTGTAATTTTTTTGAAAATTCATTGTACGTACTTATCCAGTTAATTTTTGTCATTAATCTTCTATATCTATTTATAGATCCTGCTTTTTAAAAATTTTTGTGAGTAATATTTTATTTAATATTACGGTTTTCTAGTTTTCCTATTTAAAATTTGAGTTTTTTTTTGTGTTTAATTTTTTTAAGAATTTTTGAGAATCAATAAAGTCTGAGTATTGTACGATCATATTTAATGACGATTAACACAAACGTTATCCATTAAAAAATAATCGATAGATTATAGTTAATTTCGATATTCGATGATTATTTGTTAATCTCTCATTGTTTAGTTATGGATTTTTTAATCCGTTGTTGTGAATCCATAGTGGAGATCCATCTTTACTTTTTTTCTTTTTCTAGTCATTATTGTGTTTTTTTTTACGGATTTTTGAGAATTAGTAAGTCCTATTATCCTGCCGTCCGTCGCGCTATTTGGCATATAAAAAAGGTTAGTCTGAGAACATATAATTGGTGCTTTGAAAATCCAAAAACAAGTTTTAGTCAAGTACGACTGCAGGGTTGCGTTCAATTTAAATCATTAGATCTGGAGCAGACACATGTGGATCTTCATCTATTGATTTTGACCAGCTTAAATCAATAGTGGCTGGCTGCATGATTTTCCCACAGGGTGATTAACTGTTTTCTTCTTTGTAGACTTATCTTTAAAGAAGGTTGACGTCGGCAGAGCATAAAAAGCTACAGTCGAAGTTATTCATATTTGTGGCGGCAGAAGCAAACAGAGCAAACATGCGATAGTGGATGGACTTGCCGTATTCAACTTGTTTTTTAATGACACAAAAAACAGAGCATGATTGGCAGCATGGTTAATTGAGCTCCTAGAGTCGATTATTATAGTTCGGATTCATTTTATTCTTTGTTTTACCAAGCTTTTTATTTTTTCTATGCCATTTTAAAGCATTTTTTTTTTAAAAAAAAAAGAATAGATCGATAGTTTTTTGAAATTTTTGTGAGTAATCCTCTGAGACAGAAATTCTTATCAAAATTTGTTCATTTTCCTAATAAGTGCAAAGTAAAAAAAAAAAAAAAAAGCCATCGATTCCAGAAAAAAGAAAAACATGTCTAGTATGACTTTTGTAAGCCTTGATGGACGTTCTGACAGGGGACAAACCCCTCTATTTTATTTATTTTCATTGTAATAGTTATTTTGTAATGAAGATTATTTTTAGAATTTGTCTTTTTTATGTAAGTAATAAGAGTTATTATGAAATTAGTGCTTAGGATTTTATTTATTTTTATTTAGTATTTAGGTTTTTTTAGTTTTACTATTTAAAGGGTTATACTAGCTTTTTGGAAAAAGGAGAGACTGTGAATTAATAAAATTTGAGTTTTTTTTTTAATGATGATTGTGTTTTATTCTTTTAAGGATTTTTTATAATTAATAAATTGGAAATATTTTACCGTTATATTTAATGACCGTTGACACCGACATTATCCATCATTGATAATTCATCGCAAAATAGTCGATAGTCTATTACTAATTTCAAAATTCGACAATCGTTCCATAGTCTCTCGTTATTTAGTTATGAATTCTTGAATCCGTCATCGTGAATCTATCATTAAGATCCATTGTTATTTAACTTTTTTTTTTTTAGTCATGGCTGTGACTTAATTTGTAATGTTTTCTTTTTCTTAAAAGTATTTTTAATTCTGATGAAATTTCTTTTTATAATGGAAAATTTTTTGAAGAAAGAATTAATTAGGCAGCGATTGTGGATGGAAGCATAGTTTTAATTGAAGAAAATTCTTAAGAATCAAAAGATAGAATTTGCAAGACACGAACATTACAAAGAAACTAAAAGAATTGGTTTCTTTCAATAGTAAATGAATAGTACCTCAACTCTTTTATTTTCTTTTGTTTGTTTTTGTTTTTTTTTTCCCTCCTGTTGGGTTGACTGGTAGCCAAGTCGTAGCTCTTGGGTACACATGTGCCAGGCTTTGTTTGCCCAATCTGGCCTTCTTCTTCTTTTCTTTTTCTCATATATCCAAGCCTTGATTGCTTAGTTTGGCCTTTTTTTCCCCTCTCTCTCTCTCTCTCTCTCTCTCTCTCTCTCTCTCTCTCTCTCTCTCTCTCTCTCTCTCTCAAACATATGTAAAGGCCAATTTGAAACATTTTTAATTTTATTTTAAATTTGTAATGGTTGATAATTTTTTGATATAATTTTATTTGTTAATAATTTTTTTTAATATATGAATTTTGAAATAAAATTTTAGAACGTCAATATTTTATTTTTTAAAATATATTGTTATAATTTATATAGTAAATTATTTTTATATTCTTAAATGAGTGTTTTGTTTTTTAATATATATATATATATATATATATATATACATAGAGAGAGAGAGAGAGAGAGAGAGAGAGAAGATGTTTTAGATACTTTGACTTAATTTTTTTAAAAAATAATAATAAGTTAAAAAATTCACACGAGTCTTATTTGCTTTTTTATAAATATTTATTTGAAATTTATCATAACTAATTTTGTTTTAGTTTTTATTTTAATCTATCGATTTCAATATATTTCTATAATTTAAGTGAATTTTTTATATATATATATATTTATTATATGTAAACTCAATCTGTTATATATATGGTTTTATTAAAAATTAACTATATATATATATATATATATAATTTTATACCGACATTATATTATATGGATCATTAATCTTACATATATAATGATTATTTACCCATAACATGACGTGTATATCCGATTAGTAATTACTCCTTAAGCTGAAGATTGGTGATACAATTGTTTTTTATACCTAAAAAATTTTTATACCCGTATACATTATATTGGTGATACAATTGTTTTTTATACCCAAAAAGAAATGTATGTATGGGTATTCTCATTCATTGATTGCGGGGCAACACAAGTACCCCTTGTTGACTTGGTCTCGTATGACTTAGCTCTCATAATTTAGAGTCTCATATTAGTGAAGAAGTTAGAAAATAATATTCAAATTTGATGAAAAATACTGATTCTTATTAGTCAAGAAGTCAAAAAATAATTTTCAAGGTATTATGAGAATATAGTGATTCTTATTAGTCAAGAAGTCAAAAAATAATATTCAAGGTGTGATGAAAAAATAGTGATTCTCACTAGTCAAGAAGTCAAAAAATAATTTTCAAGGTGTGATGAGAAAATGAGTGGTTGCTTTGTACCCAATTTTTCAAGATGTGATGAGTCTCGTATCCCACTATTTGTTTTTTGAATAATCAATATCTATGGCACGAAATTCTTGTCAAAATTTGTGGCACACAATTCAAACCATATTTCCAACAACAATCTTTTAATTTCCTTGCACGTATAAAAAATTGTCCACCTTACCCCATTGGTGCGAAGTAATGACCATGACAAATATTTCTATAGACAAATAATCAATATATTTTAAACATATCGAGATTTTATATAATTTAAATATTTTTTTTAATTCATATCTTAAGTTTTTTTTTTAATTTAAAAATTTTATTTTTATATTTTTTTATTTTAGATTCTAATATGTCACATAAGTATACGTGATAAATTTTAACTAATAACAACTCCTCACGTATAATGATGGATCAAAATTAAATAATTGAATGGGTGATGTGATAAGTTATTATTAGCTAGAAGTTATCGAAACAATAATATAAAAAGAAAATTCTTAAATTAGAATAAAAAAATTTAAAATTTCAACACGTGTAAAACCATTTTTTTATTAGTAAAAGTCAATAAATACATAATGATTGTTGAATGCTACAAGACTCCATGGCAACCGACATCCAATGAATGAGAATATGTTTGTAAAAAGCAAAACTGATCTTTTGCATTTTAGCATTAACAAATTTTTTGTTATCCAATGATAGTTACAAAGAATAATATAAAACAACACATTTTTTTTTTTTTAACGAATCGGTGATCAATACAAAAATAAAATAAATGATCAAAAAGTTATATTAAATCTACATTCATGATGAATTCATTTAAAAGTTTTCGAAAGATATAACATTAACGGTAATTATGTGGTCGGTTCTCATTTTATAAGAGTAGAAGATTAATACATCGACAATATATATATATATATATACATACATTTACTATTATTTTCTTTTTGTAAAAAAAATAAAAATCCTTCTTTCTATTTATACATGCTCTAGAATACTCATTTGGTCAAAATTTTTAATACTGGATTTTTTTAAACACCTATATTTAGCAATGAGCGATTAAATTTGATAGATGTTTTCCTTAAAAAATGGATATTTAAAAAAATATTGTTAAAAAAAATACAAATATGATATTATAATTAATAAGTTTCTTGAATTGGATGAAAAGTTAAAAGTCACTGTTCTTAAAGTGAGTAATAAATAGTAAATGAGTACCCTTAAATTCATCATATATTTTGTTTATGCCACTAGTTTTTTATTTTAAATTATTAATAAATTCTTATATCCGATTACTCTCTAGCCACTAACTTGATGTGACGATAATGTTTTAGTAATTTATAATAAAAATGTTGATTAGAATAACAAAATATCAGAAGGATTTTTAGTACCCTAAGAAATATGGGTTGGTTTGTTTTGAACTGAATGGATCCAGCTTTGCCGACATCCAATAATGATCTATACATTCTTTAAATTAAAACAAAACACTCCACCTTTTCAAAGCCCAATATCAGGCCCTATTAAACCAACCCAGAGCCCATGCTTCAAAGTATTTCAAGAGGTTTTTATCTCAACAATTTGGCGCCACTTTATTTTGCACCCAAAAATCCCACTCTAACCCGCTCCCCCTGAACCACCAAACGACATCTCGTCCGCCACCAAAATGGTGTTCCTCCATCAACAAAACCCCTCCCGGAAACGACCTTCCTCCTTTATTCCTCCATTTCCACCACCGAAAATCCCCAAATCCACCACCGGCACCACTACGCAACCAACACAATCACAAAAGGACGCCGTCGACGACAATCAAGCATCATCGTCGTCGTCGTCAGTTGATAAAATGGTGTCGATTCTAGCTGATGCTGGCTGCACTTTGGTCAATCCCGCAGGTCCACCTACCCTTCCTTCTGATCATCATAAGTTCCGGAACCATCTCAGCCGTCTATTTTCTTCTTCCGATACCGCCCCTGCTCTCCGCTCCGATTTCCTTTCCGGATTCTCCTCTTACGTTAGTTCTCCACAGAACTTCCGTAGGTCAGTTTCGTAAATTCACTAATTCTACTTCTTTTTCCTTAATTATGTTATTAACATTTGATTATGTTATTATTAATAATAATTAATTAATCAGGGTTCTTGCATTTTTGAATCGAGATGGTTTTGGCGCCAAGAGAAGCGAGAGCTTAGTAACGCAGCTCTTGCTAGTTCCAGCAATTCAGTTAGACCTTCAAATCATGCTGCTTGAGAAACTTCCGGAATATTTTGACACAGTTCGCGAAGATTCTAGAACAACGTTGTCTCTCGAAGATGATGTGGCGAGGCTAATAATTAATCAATTCAGGTGGCTTGATTTTGTTGTTGATCCCAATGCATTTGCCGATAAATTATTGGAAGTTCTTTCAATTTGTCCTTTAAATTTAAAGAAAGAGATTATTGGATCGTTGCCGGAGATCATTGGTGATCAAAGTAATAATGCTGTTGTTGATTCGCTCGAGCAAATGCTACAGGAGGATTCTGCGATCATTGTGCCGGTGCTTGATGCATTTTCAAATCTTAATTTGGATGAAGTGTTGGAAGAACAGGTACATTGTTATACTTTCTGAAAAGAGAGACTTGAGGTTGAGCATTTTATGTTTTTGTTTGATTTGTTTTGATAGTGACAATTTGTTGTTTTGAAGGTTATTACTACAGCTTTATCGTGTATCAGGACAATAGATGGGGAGCATATGCCGTATTTGCTTAGGTTTTTATTGCTTTCGGCTACTCCTCAAAATGCTCGAAGAATAATATCGCAGATTCGTCAACAGCTAAAGTTTGTGGGAATGTCGAATAGTTCTCGCTCAAATCAGCAGCGGAAACTTAAAGGGAAGTCACTTGTGGACAATACAGAGGCGTCTATTCTTGATGCTTTGAGATCAAGTCTGTTATTTAAGAATGTAAGTTCTTTGCAGGATTTTCCGTATGAGCATATGTGTATGTTGTTTGACTATATGACATTATTCCATTTGATGCTGTTTAGATGCTGTGTCAAGAGGTTTTGAAGGAATTGAATAGTGTCGAGAAACCTCAGGATCACAAGGTCATAGACATATGGCTTCTTGTATTGATATACATGAATGGTGAGTCGATGCAAAAGAGTGTTGAGAAGATTTTCAAGAAGAAAATTGTTGCAAATTGTATTCGGGAAGATATGATTGACCAGTGTATTTGTGGTAACAAAGAATTGGTTCAGGTATAAGTTGCCGTCATTTTAAATGAAGAACCATTTCACATTAACAAGCTAGGATCAGAATTAACTAATGCTTTTGGAACTCCTTTTGATTTCTGTCTCACTAGGATTTTTTTCCACGGTTTCTTTCTTTGTCTGAGCATTTATTGGCATGCAAAGAACAAAAGGCAAGGGATTTTGGCATGCACATGTATGCTTGTTTGTTTGGAGAGTTTGGTGACACTTACTTTCGACAGGAGGTAAGCAGATTGGGGAAATATTTCTTGTCTGTGATTTGATAATTGAAACACTGTGGGGAGTCTTATTCCAGCTCTTTTGCAGGTTCTTGGGGCACTTGTGACTCATGTTGGATCTGGTGTTAGTTTCGAAGTAAATTCTTCTTTGGACACCATGGCCTTGCTGGCCTCCAAGTATCCGCAAGAGTTGATTCCACTTTCTAGTCATATAAATGGTATCTTATCCACTTTTGTTTCACATGAATATATGATGTGACTAGAGGACAATTTGTCTTGATATGCTTTATGTTCTGCTTTAGGTATATTGGATTACTTGGAAGGATTTGGCATGGAAAGTCTACACAAGGTCTGTTAATCTTTTCTATTCTTGGCGTTATAAGTTGAAATGTTGACAGTTTGTGCCAGTTTCACTAGCTTTCCACTGTGCAGGTTTATGAAGTTTTCAGCAAGCTGGCATTGTCGGCTCGATCTATTACAGATTGTTTTGGATCTTCCATTGCAAATGAACTGTTGATGATAATACGAAAGCAGGTATCCATGAAACATTTTTCTTTTCTCCTTTCTCTATCCCCTTTTAGTTGCTTACAAATTCCTCTAGTCTTTATGTATGTTCTCTTCGTTGTCTTGACCCCTATTGGGTAGGTCAGCCATCCAGATATGAAGTACAAGAAGATGGGCCTGATTGGGACTCTGAAAGTGGTCTGTCATCTTGGAGACATAAATAATGCTACTGAGGCATCTCCTTCTCAGGTAGGATTCAATGTTTCCTCGACTGCAAGATTCTGACAGCTTAATTATTTGCTGGTGACATGTTTTTTTCATCTGTAAATGTTGCTCCTTGTTTGCTCCCTTTGCTATAGGAATTTATAATCCTTTCTTATGCTATAAAAGAAAATTAATCATGTCAAACTTTTTTACAATGTTTAATTTCTCATGTTTCAACATAGAATTTAAATTTTGGCATGTGTTTTCACCATTATTGAATGTTATTTGCACAGAAATCTAACTGTGAGGAGGCTTTGGAACTCTTGAGAACCTGTCTGCACTCTTGCAAGCAGTTGTGCTTACCATTGGTTCTCTTTTATGATGAACTGACTACAATAATGCTTCATAAAAAACTTCACCCAGAAATTGTAGAATGGTCAGTAACTACAACCACCTAGTTCTGGAAACTGAGCTTCTTAGTCATTTAAAGCAGTATCAGATGCCTGATTGTATGGGAGAAACTTGTCTGTATTTTGTAGGGTTGGCAAACATGCTGGAGAGTTTGAGTCTAAGTTTCTATCTGATCTCCAAGGTGGACAATTGCCAGGCGAGGACTCATATTGTAGTTTGGAAGGTGAATTAGCATTGCAGTCTGTTTCTTGATTTCTAATATTTTTTCCCTTGAAGTTAATGGGAAATCAAGACGTGTATAATTTTCCTTTTGCAGGGGAACTGTGGATGAACCTGGATGGTGACATATCTCCTGTTTGTTTGAGCATTTTGCCATTGTCTTCCTCTTCCTTGCAGTAATGTTTTGGCCATCCTTTGCCCTTTTCTTTTTAATACTTGTTTACATGTCTTTGACGGCTGAAGTTTAAGTTTGTTCCGCTCAGGTCTATGTCTTCGTTACAAGTTCTTCCTGCTAACTTTCTCTTACTATCAACTGTAAGTGCATGGACTTTAGACATAAGAACTATAAGCATAGAAGCAAGCATATGGACAATTTCTTTCTGTTCTGTTTTTCAGGTTGAGAGGCTGACAAATCAGGGATCTCTTAGTGGAATTGACGCATTACTTGGCTGCCCTTTGCACCTTCCCTCCTCTAAGGTGAGACCAGGAGATTCTTTTACTAACATCATCAAAAAGCAATTCTTTCTTCATATGTCAGTCTTTGGCTATTTTAACATCAAAGCATTGTTTTAAATACAAGTAGATTATTTTTTTGCCTTTGATCGATGTTTCAAGGAGGGCAAGGGAAGTTAGAAAAACTAGAATACTAAGTCAAGCAGGGTTTTCTTAAAAAGAATTTGAAGTTCTTTGCTTCCAAAGTGCTTTTTTTGGTAAAATGAAAATATGGTATGTGCTTTCCTTAGCAAACCTTTGGTACTCACTGTGCCAGAGTAAGCTATAAACGTAGTGCTCCTGATGCTTGACAAACTTCTGGTGACCTTTGTCACCGTGTCACCTACTTATTTGTGATTTTTTTTTTCTTTTTGACTGGATGTTTACGTAGTTTGTCAATGCTGTTGGTCTTGACAAATTTGTTGATGCCTATATATCTCGTGCAATGTCAGTACTTCTCTGAAGCTGGTTGGCAATCACTGACAGCAAAGCAGAAACAGATTGTATGCCTTTCTCTTTATTATGCAGCAAACTGGATAAGGGAACTGGTAATTTTTTGTAGTTGAAATTGTTACCTTCTGGGTTGAGCCAGGTTTTTATATTTGAATGTTTGGTATATGTTCTGGTCTGTAATGCATTTGATATTGCATGTAGCTTAATGCCTTTTGTACACAAGTTGCTGGGAGATTTGAGTGCACCAGTCAGACTACAGAAGTGGATATAATTGTGAAGCTATTGAAGCGACTGAGGAACCTAGTGTAAACTCTCGTGCTCTCAATTGCTTGATAATTTGTGCATCATTTTTAAATCACATCTTTTTTATGTATTAAAGCAATTTGACTAATAGTAACACAACCGCAGGTGGATTAGTCTCTTTAGTGCTGTTTTGTGAACCAGTGTTAAGAATGACATAATAAGGCATGCTATAAAGTGACAGTTGAAAGCCTAGAAAAGGGGTAGCCCTGACTTGATCAATAATTCAGTTGACTGTGACTCTATTGTTAGTCATGCAAGCATTCCATACTCTTATAGGTCAAAACTGGAATCCTTACATCTTTGTTATGGTTGCTTATCCATATTACACTGGCAGAAGTTCTACCTACTATTGTACATGTATTTGAGTCATGCCAGGAGTTTTGCAATTGTAATTATAGATTTTTTTTTTCAGTTTCATTCTGAAAGCATTATGTTATCTCTGCACTGATGAAAAAAATATCAAAATGCAGATTTGTGGAAAGTTTATTAAACAACTGCACCAAAGGCCACCCTCTGTCTCTACCAGAGCTCCATCTTCAAGTTGATCAGTCTGGAACTCTACTTTTAAACAAAGCTAACAATATGGTATATCTGGCAAAAAATGGTGACCATAAGAAAACACAAGACAACAATTCCCCAAAGAAGAGAAGACATAAAAAGACATCAAAAGAATTGAGTTCAGATCCAAATGGAGAACTCCGGCAGCCAAAAATATCGGATGTGTTGAGGAAAGCAGGAGCTGCAACAAGCCAAGCAGTCTCAAATGAGGAATCTACTAGTCAATCTTTGAGGGGCCAAGCATTTGTTCCAGCAGCTCAAGATTCCTGTAATTCTACTGTGCCCATAAGTTTAGAAGCTTCAGCAGTTTCCAAGGCTCTAGAAGCACAAAGATTTAAATTCAGGCCACTTCTTGTCCAATGTTTCTCCCTTTTGATGTTTTCAAATGTGAGTACACTAATGCTGCTGATTATCATGATTCTCATTTTGTTTAGTTTTCTAATTGCTGCTTGCCGTGGGATTTCCATTTCACACATGGACTATCAAACACAGGATCTTGTGGAACGGTATTATTCTCAATGTTTTGTTCAGTTTTTCTGTTGATCTGTTCAGAAATTGCATTTTGTACTTGAAAGGAATATAAAGGATAATGGTTTCGTTTCAACTTATATGGGCATTTGAATGAAATAATTGTAACTATTTTAGATATTACGTATCGTATGATATGTAAAGTGGAACTGAGAGGCAAAAACATCTATTTGTTTCATGAGATGGAAGATCTTCTGCATGTGTTATCCTTTCTACAATTTTTCCTTTCTCTAGAATTTCTAGACTGAGATTACTGTGGTACAGCCAGTATTCACTCAAATTCCCACACTCTGATTCTCTTCCGATCTTGGTTCCTTAGAAGTGTTCATTCACTAGGCTAGAAAGTTTCTATCTGAAAGTCCGCATGTTGGTTTTGGTCAATCTCATGCTGTTATTTTATACATATGTAGTATATTTGAACAAACACTGGTTGGAAGTCATTTAATCTGCCTCTCCATATGCAGAATCAAAAGTCCTGTTGCCATGATCCCGCAGCCGAGGTAAGAAGCTAATTGTACAGAGATTATGGTAATTTGTTTTGTTTAATGAGCTAGTAAAGTCATTAAATATGCACAATGGTTTCTTTCATGTGCTAGTTACCCCTCTATCTATACCTTTTGCGTGATCTTCACTACAAGCTGGATTACTTTACTCCTCCTGGTAAACAATTCTTGGCCAGATTCTTGAGTGCTCCAGCAGGTTTTGCCAGAATGACCATGGAAGAATTCTTGAGCAATGTTAGGCCACTTTTTCCACATCTGAGAAGGCATTTTGATAATGCAGTTTTTGTTCTTAATGAAGGTTAGATTATGCTGCTTAATTTGGTTGGAAAAATGCTACTGTGTTCTTGTTATCCAAGTGCAATTACATTGCAGGTGATGGAACTTGTGAAGATCATTGGAATATTCACTCTGCTTCTGCTGGAAATCCAGATGTAGCCAACACTCTGTTTTCAAAATCTGTAGTTTCCACTTCGATATTTAAAGAAGTACTTCATTGTTTTAGGAAGGTGATTTTTATTACTCTTGCTCTCTCTGGCCCTCAGACCAGTCACCAATACAGAATTTTAATTTTAATTTTTTTGCCATTTTAGAGCAATGCAAGTGACTTTTCTGAATTTCTATTGTTCAAACTCCTTTCCACCCTTTCCCTATTTGCAGATGCTAAACCTTCCTGGTGTTCAAATGCACAAATCAGTTCTCTCGGATTTTCTTGAAGCCTTCCAACCAAGCAAAATATCTGAGAGTGTGTTTTCTGGCCTACAGCATACCCCTTCACATGGGACAATAGAATATTTGTATCTTGGAGCTTCATCATTTCTTGAAGATGCATTAGATATGGGTATAGATTCTATCTTGTTTTGTAGCAGTGTTTAATGTGGTCAAGAGGTATCCTTTGTAATTATAATTACTTCTGCTCCTTGCAGCATGTTCATTCTCCTTTATGCTGGCTTCAGAATCTCTGCTTACCCTAGAATCCGTTGTCACCTCTGTCCAGACATTACTGGTTAAATTGGAGACTAGTGATAAAGGTATGCACTCACCATCCATTCACAGGATCGTTCCTAACTTGTGCAGCAGACTTGGAACTTCTGCCCTGAAGCTTTTAAAGCATAACTGGGATAATGAAAATCTTGAGAATGGCTGGAAGAACAAAGTATGACTGTCTATCTAATGCTATTTGGCTCTTTGTTTCTATAGTCTTTAATAGTTAATGGAATGAGTTAAATGCTTATATGGTGTTTAATTTTCTGATATTGTCAGGGAGAAATTGTACAAAAGATTTTGCGGATTTACCTAGAGAACAGTGACTCTAAATCTGATTTGCTGGAGGAGCTTGCCTGCTCTATTTTGCCTGAGGTATGTGAGTATTTTCAGTACTCATCTTCTGCTAAGACTCATTACCTTTGCATCTGATCATCCCAGTACAATGTCCCTGCAGATAAGTAAAACTGGTGTCCCTCTAACAGGGAGTTGAAACTGTGACTTTAAGAGTACTTCATTTGGAATTTGGAACCTACAGTTAGGATAAAACACTGACTTGCTTGAAACATGGATGGAATTCCAACTCGCTTTGCACCAGACAACATGATTTTGCTGCTTCCTAAGTTACCTGTAAATGGAATTTACTTTCTTACTAGGTTTCTTCATCTGGAACAACGGTAGAAGATGATCATCATGCTTTCCCAACTCTATGCAATGCAACATTTGTTGTATGGTGCCGGGTGCTGGTATGGTTTCCAATGGTAGCACTATTCTATATTCCAACTGATTTTTCTGTTGCCTATTGGAAATGTTTACATAAGGTGGTTTTATGTGCAGCATGAAGAGAACCTTGCTATTCTTAACAAATTGGTGAGTTCTAAATAACATAAATCATAGATGAAAAGAGAAAAATTCGCTTGGACTTGGATTTAGTTTCTTATTCATTCCTGTCTTGTGATTAGGTTAAGGAAGTTGCTCTCTTTGTGAAACCCAGAGCTGCTGTTCAGCTTGAAGCTGTTGAAAAGCATTTGATCAAAATACAAAAATCTGTGAACGTGGTGGTATCATTGGTTAACATGTGCAGAACTCATGACAAGGTAAGAAAGCAGAAACGTGGAGTGCCTTTGCCAACATTTCTGTATCGAATTATATTCTATTTAGGTTCTAATGTGAAGTGGAAATGGTTGAAATGTTAAATTAACGGGACAGGTGACTGTACGTGCCATGGCTGTCAAGTATGGTGGGAAGTTTGTGGATTCCTTCCTAAAAGGTATATCCATGACACTTTCTTTTTGCAATGAAATCTGAGATGTAGTTGCTTGGAGTACTGAACTTAAAACCTTCAAACAGCTTTTGACTTCTTACAGGCTCACTTTCAAACACACAATGAACTGATAATCCAATTGGTAAGATCAGGTCCAGTGAAAAACTTCTTAGGTTGTTGATTATCATAGACATCTTAGATTAGTGCTAAGCTCCTACTTTGCGCTTTCTTTAGGTGAAAGAGCTTCAAAAGGCCACAAGAACAATACAGACTCTGTGTTCTGAAGCAAAGGTCGGTTTTTTCATCTTCGTTTCTATTTTTGAGTCAATAATCTTACAACATGAGATCAGTCTTGACTTTTTTTTTCTCTTTGTGAAGGGATTGAAACAAACAGCTATCACTTGCAAAATTCCAGCTACAAAGCGTTCCATGGAACGATTTTTGTTCTGTGTCAAGGCTCTTCTTCACTCGACATCAAGTGGATGCACTTTCTGGATGGGTATGGAAGTTTTCTAATTGTTTATTTTTATACACTGCTTATTTCATTTTCCAGAATCCAATGACATGATAAAAATTGCATTGAGACACAAACCAAGCTGTCTGAATCCCACCTAGAGCTCTTTTGTAGTTAATTATATCATACAACTTTAAAATGTCAATATAAAGTCTTAAAATTTAAACCCTGGAACTTGGATATAGTTTTAATTATCACCTTGGAATGTTTTATTTTGTTTTAATTCATTGACCAGCTATAGCAGCAGTACGTATTGAGCACAGGTTAAATAATTTCTCAAGTGCGTGCCACACAAGTTAATGAAAAATAGCAAACCTAGGGCTGATGTGCGAAGAGAAAGATTGTTGTGTTATCCCACATCGGTTCTGAAAGGGGCTGGGTGGTTGGTTGTAAGTATAAGGGAAAGCTTCACTAATTGAGCGAGGTAACTTATTGAGTAGAGAAGTCCCAATAGCACCCAACATGTACCTAGAGCTTCTATCAAAATTACTTGATCGATTCTTAGAATGAGAGTCAGGGGCAATTTGATTTCACTCTTGCGAGATTGCTTCAATTAGAAATTGAGGAATAGTTGCAAAATTTACATATATTTCGAGTGCTCATATTTTGCAGAAGTTTCGCTCATTGAAATGAATGGTTGGATGATTCTTTTAGACGACCATTGAAGAGCACGAATCTGTTTTGTTAACTATTAGCTTCTACAGGGCTTATAAATGGCATTTTCTGCTGTTTCACTAACATGATTTTTTTGGTAATATTCCTTGTGTTCTGACAGGAAATTTGAAACATAAAGATTTGACGGGTCAGGTAGTAAGTTCCCAGGCATATGTAGATGACGTGAATAATAATGTTGATGAAGATCCAGCAGAAGCAGTTGACGACGATCAGCCTGTTAGTGTTGCTAGTGAGGACGGAGAAACAGAATAAGTGCCTTGTTTATCAAAGTGTTTAGTGGTTAAAACTGAAGCCAACATCAAGTTTTTTTTTCTGCGAAAAGTCTACGAGTTCAAGACTAATGCTGTAGTTCTACACATACCAGTAAGATGACAGAAAGAAAGTAAAAATAGGTAAGAACTACGAACTCTTCATATTTTATATTAACAACAGGGTGGAGGAGTTACATATATAAAATCAAAAGAGAACAGGAAGTTGGTCCATTAATCTGGATATTGACGATCCATTTATTGCTCCAGAAATCGAAAAGTTTAGTACCTGGAAAAAAGGAATCAGCATTTAGGCAAGAGTGATTCATAAAAGCTCGTGTTATTTTGTTAAACATGAAACTTTATTTGAGAAAACTTGTTTGCTATTATGGTTTATTTCATGGCTGTATCATTCGTAGTGAACAGAACTGATCCCGAGCATGGCCAGGTTTAGTTTGGGCCGAAGCGCTTTTCCCTAAGCTTGAGCCTATCTTTCTGCCCTGTTTACGAGCCTATATTTCTGGGTTATTACAAAAATACTTTTTTGACAAGAAAAGATGTCTATCTTGTCATGTCTATTCTCAAGTACCAAATGCCACTTAAAAATTATTTAATTTGTATATATTATTTTTACTAGTGAGAATAAAAATAAAAAATAGAAGGAATTACCTGCTACATAGATCACCATTTAATGGAGCCACGTTCAGATTACACTCCTTGGAAAGCTCCAACATGGCATTTTCCTTGAGGCTGTCAAAGTAAGAATATGCTTCCTTGTAACACTTGCACCCCAAAGGCTGCTTCTCTGGTTTAAAAGCCAGGTTCACGATCATCTTAGCGCCATTACAGCATGAACTTGATGGCTTTGTATCAATGCCTCTCAAGTAAGTGTAGCACTCTCTAACAACCATGGCAACCCGATCACATTCAAACACATCTGGTCTGATTCCTTGGGTTGGCACCATGGTCCATGGTGCTGCGGCTAGAACAATAAAGAGAAAGACAGCAACGGCCTTCATAGAGGATTGCTTGGTTGAGTTCTTGGTGAGGTTTGCTTTGGCAGGTTGGAGAATATATAATTGGTTGGCAGATGGAAAGAAAGGCGAAGCAAAGGGATGATATCATGGTTGTTATTTTGTTAAAGCAGCTGCGTTTTTAGTAAAGCAAGGCGTCAGCTACAATACCAGAAAGTGTCCTTTTTGAAGGTGCCTTCTTCAATCCTTCAAAAGGCAGTCCATGTTGAACCGGATGTCTAGAATATCCGATTCATCAACTACGGCCGAATTTTTCAAACATCCAGTTTAACTTGAGGGTTTTCAATGTCTTTGAATGAATTGCATTTGCCCTATCTGCCAAACACAAGAACGAGTAAAGTCCTCTTGTCATGTCCATTCTCATGAAAACTTAAATCTGTAAATATGTGATAAAGCATGACAATGATAATCAGTCTCTTACAAACACCGTTCCAGAATTTGAGAACACAAACCAGGCACCAGAAAGAATTGGTATAGAATTTTTTCAACTTTGTATCTATTATTTTCTAGAAATATACTAGAATTACTGATTTTGGTTATGCAGCCTTTACGGAGGAACAATTTAGTGAAACACATATAAAGGCAGGTAATCATTATGCAGAATGCTTCTCTGCCGCTGCTTATCATGTGGAATGCTTCTCCACAGCTGCTGATTTCTTTTTCATTGTCCAGAATGCAGCAGAGTATCGGTTCTGCAAAAAGATCAGCATCAAATATTTTTGCAAATACCAGCCAGCACGAGCTTAAATTCTTTGAATACAAAAATCATATCTGATTAGCAAAAGGGATTTGGTGGCTTTCATTGGCCTAATAAGAAGGGATCTAGCATGCTTGGGGCTATAGAACATGGACATATGCATGCACACTGCATAAGCAACCTCGGATAGCCACATGATGGGGGGACGTTGGCAGCAGCCCCCAAAGGATTTGGACTTCTGAAACTCTATAAATTCAGCATGTAGTCTTTTAATATTCAGTACGCAATAATATCAAATAATTTCCAGTAGCTTTTGATTGTGTGACTCCTAAGAACCCTAGGTGTGAAGCTTGGGTTTTCCTATCCTCTAGGTGTGACTCCTAGAAACCCTATAAGTGTGACTCTAATAGTTCTACAATTCCAAGTAGAAACTGATTTCAATACAAGCATAAACAACCCAAAACAGCCTCCAAACTCAGATACAGAACAGCCCCCAAGCTGTCCTGCATCACCACAACCCAAGCTAGTCCTTAGAGATCACTTCCAGTTGAAACCGACCAATATATAAATACTGCACAGATGATATTTTGGGGAAGACACACAGGGTTAGCACCCTCCCCCACCACCCACTTTTTAAATTTACAAAGCAAGCAAAGAAAACATTTAAAAGGAATCTCCAACGTAAGTGTCTGAGAAGCTTACTTGCATCATTGATTGAGGATTTGTAGTGTAGGTTGTCTCAATTGTCTTTTCCTTCTGCAGCCCATGAATAAAACAGTACCATGTTAAATTATTAAGAGATTCAGACAGCAACGCAAAGCATTTGCTCATACAAGACAGCCAAAAATATATTGAGATGAGATTATTACCTCAATTTCAAACCCATAATTTAAGGCAACTCTCTTTACATCTTCCAAACTCAGTTCAATGGACATCTCCTAGAGGAAAAGGAATTAATACAATAAAATACGAGAAACCAACATCAAATCAGCACCCAATATACTTCAAAATAAATGTACATTGTAGAAAAAAGAAGCTTACATCTTCTTGTCCGTACATTTCTGCAAAATGATACAGTAGTGGTCCAAGATTTATCCAAACCTGTCATCACCTAACTGAGTGAGCTAGTTCCACGGTGAAAAATAATAGAAATGTACAACAATGTTGATTTCAATATATTCAACAATGTTGATTACAAGTGAAACAGCTTCAAGTAACTCACTCCCCCATCTTTCAAAATCCTTGATATGATTTCAATATATTCAACAATGTTGTGTGCTGTATCAATAAAAAAACAAGTGACAACTGCATCCCAAACTCCTGCATGTAAATACAAATATTTCCATAAGAATTTGCTTCAAAGCAAGTACGTTGCAGGAATAATATGTGCCTATGATATAGTGTCTAGTTTTCTGCAAATTAAATTACCGTTACATAGATTAAAGTTCCCTAAGAAAGGAACACAGTTAATCAAATTATCTCCCCACTTCAATGGCCAAATTTCCAGCAATTATTAGTAGCATGAAACATTAAAAGGAATTAAATTCTCCTACCTACTTGACTTGGATCACTATAGACCTCAACAAAGTCACCACCACACATGGAGAAACCTTCGGTAATCCCTGCACTGCTTGTTATCAAAGTCAATATGGATTCAAAATAACATGAAAATAGTACCTGTCAAAAATTTTCTGCAAAGTTTTGGAAGGTGAAAAAACATGAAGTGCAGCATGAATACCTTGCTGGATGAATATCTGGTAATGAAATAGGACGGAGTTGGTCACTGTCTGAAAGTGAATTGCAATTGCTATGGATCCAAGGATATATAGTCCACTCCCCAGCAGTCTGTGTCCTAATACAATCAAGCTACGGGTTACTAAAGAAAGGGAGAGGGAGTGGAATTCATTCTTTTACAGATTAATTTGCACCCACCGATGAGAGCATACATACAGTAAGATCAGGAAGAAATTATTAAAAAGTTCTTACTGATTAAGAATAAAACTTGAACATATCATCATGTAGTATGAAAATTCATTTCCCTGACTCACAAAACCTGTATTATCATATGATAAAAGGTGTTAGGCTCGATCTTAAGTTGCCAAGATAGAGTTAGTAACAATTTCACATCTTTAATACATACCCAAACATGAAATCTCCAAGGCCAGACGCCCAAGTCCAGCACCAGGAACTAAACAAGTAGGAGGACTGTGCAATGAAATTTATGGTTTATAGTAAACAGAACATTATTCCCATGAGAAATTATACATCATTCTGTATATCACAATCATCCAGAACAAGATTGCATTCCCAGAACGAAAAACATGACGTAAGGAAATTATGTACCTCTCACTGGAACGATTAGGAAATAAAGAATTGAGCTCTTCAAGAATAGGTTTGTAGCACTCATCACGTTCTTTCTGTCCCTGCATCAGTGTAAGAACAGTGGGAACACATAAACCTGGGCCTCAGAAATCATAGATGATGAGCAGAAACGAGAAACCAATGAAGCATCGTTACCTCTGCCGCCCAGTCTCTTACTATGTTCCTTATTATACAACGGACCTATGGAAATGGACAAAAAATGGCATCATTGATTTATAATCATATAAATTCCCCAAAACCAAATTCATCAGTATTTTTGCTCATCATCAATAATCAAGAATCCATCTTAATTTCTCAAAACGATAAGTTCCAATGTCGATTCCTTCTAACCTAGATTCATAAATTCATAAAACCAATACAGGGTTAAAAGAATGACCTTTGGTAGCCATGTCAATTACATGTGACCTCATTAAAATAACTTTAAATTAAGATAAAAAAATTTCATTGATTTTTCACATATTTTACCAAATAAAAGTAGCAAAGATAGTAAAGTTTGCTTACCTTATCAACATCAACCAGAGGAACATGCAACTGAGGTGATGAATCCAACCAATCACGAGGTGATGAAGGGACCTGAATGTACATTGTGATACGCAAGAAAGTAAGTTTTTAGTACACAGAGTATAAGAAGAGAATGATGGCTTAAAAAGAAATTCTGTTCAGGAAATCCATCCCAAAATCCAGAAACAAACAAAAACTAATTATAAACAAAGAAGGAACTTTGTGATAAAATTAGACAAACTAAACAACATTACATTTCCATTGGAATAAGAGACATGATTTCCACAACATTCAGCAGTCATTTTGTTATTTTCCCGGCCTGCCGGACAGCTCCCAGTATCAGACCCACAACAGCCTCCAATATGCACCTCCTGTTGTTATCTACAGAAGTCATACTTCTAAATGAAAAGACATAAGAGTGAAATAACCAAAAATTGCAGTTTAGATAGTCATTATGTAAAACATCACATGGCCATCTCCCAGAGACCTCATTGGCAGTCAAACCATCTTCCGGTTTGCTCATCATATTGCTTGGTTTGCCACAACAAGCTTCATCAGGTTTGGAACAACAACTTCCACTAGCTGCAGCAGACTCATGAGAGCAAACATTTCCGTCATTTGGGGGCTGTTCAAGGTGCGAGCACCCACAATCGTCGACGTCCTGACTCATATCTAAGGGTGGCTCAAATGCCTGAAAAGTGATTGCCAATCACAATAAATAGAACATAATGTGCTTTTTTCTCAGAGATCAGAGAAATGTTCCAGCATTAAAACATAAAATGGAAGGAGATATGTGAAATACAGACATAAAGTAGAGCATAAAAAGAGAGAATCAATCAAGAAAACACAGAACTCAACTCACCTGAAGCATATTAAATATGAAATACGAATTTTCAGAAATACGCCTGCAGAATAAAAAGAAAAATTGTTCAAAAACTCCAACAGTATACTAACTCAATACTTCTTTTCCTTAGTCAAGGCAATTGCTTTCTAAGATTCTAGTGATCCGTAAGTGTGTATTTGTGAAAATTAGACCAAGCAATAGCATAACAGCCACTTCTTCTCAGAAAATTACCTTCTTAGACTTTGAAACTTGAAAGGATAGTGTGATAACAAAGCCTGCAAAACAAAATTAAGAACGACAAATAAATCACATGTTATCCAGAATGCAATATCGTAACAGGAGTATATAATTCATCCTTTTCGGCTTGTAATTGAGCCAAAAATAAAAAATTTCTGGCATGTAATGAAGTAAATATAAAAAGTTCCAAAAAATTCAACCCACACAAAATTGCAGAATTCATTTTTTATTTACCTTAAAAATTTAGAATTTATAAGATCTCTACTCACAATCCAGCAATTCTTTTACTTTTAAAAAATCAATCATCTGCTTGTTTCAGTGACTTCAAGTCAATGCAGCTGGTGGGCTAGTTATTGTCTTCACTTAAATTGCATTAAAATGAATATTCAGTAACACAAAATTTAACAACTTTAATTCCCAATTCAGTAATTCTTTACTTCAAATCCCTTAACTTCTCTCACTCTTTCAATATTAAAAAAAAAAAAAAAACATTTAAAGAATCCATGGAAAAAAAGAAAAAAGAACACACCTTGTGAGAAGGAGAAAGCTTCCTAAAAGATCTTTCATATCTTTTCACATCCTCTTCTGCTGCTTCTGGGTAACTACACGCAAAAAAAAAAAAAAAAAAAAAAAATCAAATCAAAACAGAAAAAACAAACAGGAAAAAGAGAGAGAGAGAGTAGATTGAGGGGGAAAGAGGAAATTACTTTAGGTAGGCACTGATTATACGCCGGAGAGATTTGACTTCAAGGGCTTCTTCAAGTTTTCTCTGACGAAGGCGTTCTTCGTCTTCTTCTTCTTGAGGAGGCTTCGTCATTTTCTTTTTCCCCTCTGGGTTTTGTTTTTGCTTTGGAGCTGGGTGTAGAGTACCTTGTCACTTCAGAAAAGCTACCCTTTATGTGTTTACAAACGGAGAGTTTTGGTTGACGGGGGTAATTATGGGCTTAGTAATTTGTTATTGTGAGCTTTGATCTTGGGCTTCAAGATGGGCCGGAACTCAGGTATAGCTTTTCCCGAAACAAATTATTGTGTACGTAATTGCCAGTTGTTTAGGTAATGCCTTGTATTACCTTCTTTTTTTCCTAGATATCTCAATTTCACATTAAACATGTGACTAATTATATTTAAAATAAAAAAGATAAGATTTAACTCATTTCAATAATTTTTTTAGATATTTCAGTTTCATATTAGACATGTGATTAATTATATTCAAAACGAAAATAATAAGATTTAACTCATTTCAATAATTTTTTTAGATATTTTAGTTTCATATTAGACATGTGATTAATTATATTCAAAACAAAAATAATAAGATTTAACTCATTTTAATATGTGCGATTTTAAAATTTAAATTTTATACATTGAAAAAAAATTCACTTTTGAAATAGCTTGTTCACTCGTTGAACCGATAATTTATTAATCGTGTTACTTTTATGTTGTTAAAAACATAATAAATCATGAAGTCATCCAAGTAATAAAACTTATTTGGTCATTTATTTAAATTTAATGGTTAGATTTAATGAATATGATGGATTTGGGTTAATACCTTTTACTAATCATCATTAACCAGGCAATTTCAATATGAGATTTGAATTGGTAATTCTTACTAATCATGACTAGCCAAGCAATTTCAAATCTGCATTGACCACACATACATTACTTGTTGGTAGGCATGTCTCAGTCTCACCCACTTCCATTACACACAAAAAAGAATCATGATTTTCCAATCATAGCTCAATCAAAAACAGGAGTGAAGAAAGGGAGAGGACCTGGAAACATTTTCTTATGATGGTAATCATCAAATCAATGAAATTTCACTCATTCAACAACATGGTAATCATCAAATTGGGAAAGTTGAATTTACTTTCTTTCTTTTTTTTCTCCCCCAGTTATTTTAGCCTTTATAATTGGCTATATGGGGAGATTGCTTCAGCCCTCTTCTTTCTCTTCTGCAAGAACATTTGGAGAGATCTCTTCAATGAAAGACCAGGAGGGCCATAGAGCTGAGAATGCAGAGGTTTTGGTGCTTGGTTGGATCTTGCACTCTTAATTCTTTCTTCCATTTCTCGACTTGCTAGCCATATTATTGCCCTAGCCTACAAATGTGTTAAATTACTGGTTAGCTAATGGCTTTTAACTTCTACTATACAGCATCAGACTTTACCTGAAATTCAGTCACATCACAAACACTAATCCTTCCATTGTAGAAAATCGTGATATGTTGTTGGCTCATTGTGGGCTCATCCCTGTAAAATAAATCAGAAAAAAAAAAGAAGTCATGTAAGGAATTAGTGGGCATATGATTAAAATGATCGTATGAAATTACAATGAACACTAATTGGATAAAAAATCGATACAAAAGAAGATTAAAGAATGAAGTAGGAAACTTTTTGAGAAGCCATGAGTCACCTAGAGAGGTTCTGTGAAATCAAATATAAGAACTACCATTCAAATACTAATACCCACAATTCGGATCTCACCATTGCCTCTTCAGCAAATGGCCATTAACATGCTAGCTAGATTTTTTATTCAAAAATTAAAAAAACCCACAAATTCACTTCATACATAGAAAATGTGATTGAACTTACATTAAATTTTGTTGAGAATTAGCAGAGGGCAAAGATGCAGAAGCCATTGGAGAAAGGGAAAGATCCAATTTGCAATCCCTCCTTGCTGCCGGAGTCTAAAAGACAAAGAAAGACAGAGAATTTAAGGTTGCTTGCTACATTACAAAGACATAGAAAACATGACAAAAAGAAAAGTGTTCCAAACGCAGAAAGAAAAGATCTTCCTAACGGGTTTATAGACAAAGAAATGTGCACGCAATTTGCAGGCTAGCAAAGTAAAAACCTTAATGAAAACGTGGAAAATGAGCTAATAATTTCCTAATTTCCGCATGCTAAAATTCATGTACCCTAATTATATCATAAAACTTTTCACATGCAAATTTAGGAACTGTCATGCTTTAATATGGTTTCCTATAAATGGAAACTTAAGAGTTTATGATGTGATAGAGTTTTTGGTCTTGGATTTGCTTTTCTTCTTGTGCTAGGATTTCTCAATGTCTTTTGTTGGGTTTGCCCGCTTTCAAGTGATCCAAACAATCCCCAACTTTTAGTTATTTTCTTGACCTTCAAGGATGTCTTGTCACCAATGTATAGCTACCTAGGGCCACAATCTTTTCTCTTCCCTTTAATTGGCTAAAAAATTTCCAAATCAGAAAGAGAAAAGGATCAAATTAGAAAGTTTGGAATCTAGTTAACCATTTTGAAACAGTAGGTAAGAAATTGCTCAACTGTTTTTTTTTTTTTTTTAATACATTCAAATACCTTTTCTTTGTCCCATTACACATCCAATTCTTCTCTTCCTTCAACATTACAATTTTGATCACAATCCACCCCAACCCACGATGTTTCTTCAGTTCAATAATTTGTACTTCAAGAAAACGTGCTGAGAAAAGAAAATTTTGTAAATCCATAAATAAGAAAATTTTTAAACTATCTCATAATCCAAAAAGGTAAATTTTTTTTTTTTTTTAACACAAGGAATAAAAAGACAGGAAAACATGGAAATGTTGGATGCATTTAAGTTTGTGATGTGGTGGTGACGCACAAGCATCCTTCTAAAATGGTGTAGTACATGATCTAGCCAGATAGCTAATTTTTCATGGCTTCAAAAGCCTAAGATTAATTAGTTCTCTTTCCTCCATGAAAAGCATTTACGCAACTGAAATATCTAATTGAATTGAGGCACATGAGCAATGTCGTCTAGGGCTTTATCACATGGGCACATGAAAGACATTTTTATTTCCTTTTTGTTTTGGCAGAAGGCAAAGGGTCTTAGCTAGCCACGTGCCATTTGCCCAAAAGTTGTAGTTAGATAAATTCGCGTGATGTTGGATTTTGGTAGAATTAGCCGTTGGCATATTGGAGAAATTTCTTATTTACCATTAAAAAAAAACTAATTAATTATGGATTGTCTGAAAAATATGGCATTTCCTATATCGGCAAATTTTAGATATTATTTTTTAGGCTTACATCCTATCATGTTGTCATGCTTTAAATTTAATTATTGATTTTAAATTCAACGATTTGGATTAAAAGAGATAAATTAAATAAAAAATTAATAAGTTAAATTATTTACTATTTTTATTATCTACTAAATCGTATCCACCCATTTTGGGTTTAATGATTTTGATTTTAAAAACACAAGATAATTTGAATTTTAAATTTGAAAGAAACTACGGTTTCTCGTCTATTATATTATGCTTTTCATGTTATTGCATATCTTAACGGATATATTTTTTTAAATATATATATATATATTTTATCATATTAGCATGTTCTTTTAATATTGGACATAAAAAACATGAACTAAACTTATGATAATCATATTAGCATGCATGCATTTTTTTCAACTTAAATTTTGTTTTCACCTTATGTGGTGTGAGAGATAAGATGACAATATGACATAAATACCACGTAAGATTTTACATAGGATTCCACTTGGCTTATATGACAAATGAACTCTTCAATTATGAACTACATGTCAATTATTCCATTCTCCTCTTTCTTTGATCAATTTTGGTTAGATTTAATGGCTTTTAAGGCTCAAACCCCTTCCAATTCGACTCTTAGGACTCAAATTAAAGAACTCCACTCTATCCATTTCAAGCTTTGATTTACCAAAAAAAAAAAAACTCCATGCCGACATTTGCCATGATTGTTCGTCGATCTTTTTATTTGGCTTACTCTATCATTTCCCTCCACTCTAACTCGGTCGGGGAAGGTCGATGGAGGTGTAGGGAACAATTTTGTGGTGGTTTTGGCCTTTGATTTGGTTAGAAAGTTCAAGTATTAGTTGTGAGTTACATGGGTTGTAGGTTATTTTCCTTCTTTTTCTTCCATTTTTTGTCACCGTCACATGGAGAGAAGGATCGTTGGGATGACAACACAATTTTTTGTTGAGATTTTGGCTTCTAATTTGGCCAAGAAGTGGTTTATTCGGGAGAAAGACTCATTGTCGAGTTTGGTGGGTTTAGGAAGCGGGTTAGGGTCTCTTTGGCTGGTGTGGAATCCTACGTGGCATGTATGCATATTGTTATCCTATCTCCCATGCCAAGTTAGCTAAAAATAAAATTTAAGCTGAAAAAAATCACACGTGCTAATGTTGTTACTAGAAGTTTAGTTCATGTTTTTTTTGTCAAATATTGAAATAATGTACGAACATGATTAAAAAATATAAAGTTGGTGATTTTTTTGGTGCAATAAGCCTTTTTTAAACCATATGCTTGTTAAAGTGGTGGAAAGAAAATAAAAAAGAAAGAAACACACATTAAAAAAAATTAAATTAAATCGATAACTTTTTATAGTTCCAAAATTTAACTACTAAATTATTTTCTCCGAGTTTTGAACGTTATAAAATCTCTAAATTTCTCATAAACACTATTAAATGTGAATAGTTAGGTTTAAATCCTAAATTCAATCCGTTTCTATAACCTTTAAACTTGAAAATTCAAATCTCGGTAGATTGTTAACGAAAAGTTTGAAGCTTTGTTCAATCTTCAATGGATGAGCCAATGAATAATAGCTCATGTGACATCAATGTCTCTTATATTTTAAGAAATTTTGAGTTTGAAATTTTAGTTTGCAATCTAAAAAAAAAAAAAAAAAACCTCTATGAATAACTATTATCATTTTTTTGTTAAAAAAAATTTGAACTTGAATTTTTTAATGAAAAAAATAACGATAATCTGGGTTTAGCTAGACATGGTTGACTAATGAACCATGAATAACTAGTTGGATAGGTAAGATAAAAATCAAATTTATAATTCATTTGGGTATAGCACGCATTACTCACTTAAATATCCTATTTTCTTCCTTCTATATTCATATTTTTTTTATCTCATATTTCTCAAATTTATAAATTTTTAACATATATAAAAATATTAATAGAAATATACAAACTCGAACTTAAATATCCTATTTTCTTCCTTCTATATTTATATTTTTTGATCTCATATTTCTCAAATTTATAAATTTTTAACATAGATAAAAATATTAATAGAAATATACAAACTCAAACTATAAATCTTGTATATTTTAATAAAATCATAATGATTTAATACCAAGTTAAGATAACTTTTTGATAAAAAAAATAAAAATTAACAACGCTTGGTAACTTCTTTATATACTCTCGTTAAAAAAAATATACATGTGTTAATTATGTTATCACTTAATTTTGGACCCTTTTTGTTTTGCACATTTTTTCTGAAAAAAATTGATGAAAATGAAAAAAAAATTAATCAAATGTGTTGTGTTTAACAAAAATCCAATGATTTTTGAGAGCTTAGAAAAAATTAACGAGAGAAGAGAGAGAGAGAATAAACAAAAGAAAAAAAGAGTGAAAACAAGGGAAAAAAAATGTGGGGACTATGAATTTAATTTTAGACTATCCTAAATCAATTTAATTAGGTTTAATCTCATTTTAGGATAATCTAATTCGACTTAAGTACTAAGTCACTCCTAATAGGGATTATGACTAATTAAGTTTTTTTTGGGAGGGGGGGGGGGAGGGCATAGAAAGAGAAAGAACCAGAAAAATATAAATAAAAAAATCCTCTATCTCTCAACGGACTTGGTCACCCGCCTTTACCTCTCCCAAAACCACCACCCTCCGGCCAACATCACCCCCAACAACCACCTCAAACTTGAAGCCCAACATCGAATCAACCTTTCCCAATTAGTTTTCACGCTAGAAAATGACAAAGGTGGCCAAAAAATAGAGAGAAGATGATCTATCCAACCCGAATCTAGAACCTAATTAGATCACCATTTTTTGTCCAAATCGATTGTCACCACCTCTATAGAAACACTCCTCACCTTATTAAAAGTAGATCCCACTCAAAATCTAGATGAAAACTAGCTAGAATCAATCAAATCAAACAAAAATTTGAATCTTGACCCATTTTTACAACCTATTTCTATCGTCGGTTTGGGGTCGAATTTGACCTCCAAACCATTGGAGAATAACTCCCTAGAGTCTCCTAAGTTGATTCACATCTTCCTCTTCACTTGACATAATTGGAATCATGATCGAGAAAAAAGAGAAAGTGATAGTCATTGGCGACTATTGATCTCCTTCTCTGGCTAGTCGTGTGGGACACGGCTTTCACCTAGACGTTGAGGAAGCTCGGCTATCCCTTCCTCGACCAATCCTATGCTAAAAAGAGGTTGACTAGTGGCCATAGACAATGACAATAGTAATTAGGGTTTTGAGGACATTGTGATAATTTGGCAAGCACGTACTTGTACATACGCCAACGCGAGTTTATTTTCTAGATTTAGCTTTATGGGTGTTTTGGTCATTTCACAATAGACCGGGACATCTTGATCATTTCGTAATGGCTATTTCAAAGCGTCAATGGGCAGGTTCTTTTCTCTCTAGGTAATTGAATAATCGGTTTTCATCAAGATTGAAGAAA